AAAGGGCCATCCCAGAGGACTTGGGGACCATGGTGGGGTCTGCTTTTAGGGTCTCTCGCAATGCTCCTGCAGTTGGGATCTCGGAAGCAGAGCATGGTCACTGCCGATAAAGGTGAAGTCACACTGCCCTGCACCCGTGCTGGGAATGATGCCTCAAGAGCAGGGCAGCTCATCAGCAATGCAGTAGCTCCCCGATAGCAGGTCTGGGACTGAGCAACATCTTGGTTCTTGTCTAGAAGCAATTTTTCTGTTACCTGATCTGACCTTCCAGGTGAGATCACCAGTGAGCCCAAAGGTCTTCCAGCCCTTAGCACAGCACCCGCCTGTGCGAGGCACGAGCTGCTGCTGGGGCCTTGATCCCTGGCAGCAGAGTGGCCCAGCCTGGCTCCAGCGCAGGCTGCTGAGCTGCCGGGCTTGGATGCGCTATCCCATAGCAGGGAAAATGCCTCCCTGATGGGCAGTGTCCGAAGGCAGCGAGTGTTCACTTGGAGCTGAATCCCGTGCAAACGGAGCGCCCATCCGCAGGGCAAGGTCACCCACTCTAGTTGGCCACTATTGAGCTCCTCCTGCATTAACTGACAAGAGCAGGGGGAAATCTCTTACGAGGAAGAAAAATACCCTTTTCTCTCTTGTTGGGAGGCCGGCAGGAGGCTCCAGTCCCCGCAGCGCCTTGTGGGTGCCTGAAAGGCGCAGAGCAGCCTGTGCATCCCCGTTTACCTCCCAGCTCTCCCCCATTCACTTATTCCCAGCCCTGGCGCGGAGTCCCGGGATGCTCTGCAGCGCCGGCACCCCCGGGCACGCAGCCGGGCCTGCACAGCGGCGCCCGGGCTGCTGCGGGAGGCTGCGGCGCGTGGCAGCGAGCACGGGAGTGCTGCTGAGCCCCGAGTGTAAAATCCCAGGTGCTTTTTCGTCCTGGCACACTGCACGGAAAAGGGCTCTTTGCAAAGCAAGCTTTTGAGCAGCGCTGTGTCCGGCGCGCGGGCGCCTCAGGGCTGTTCCGTAGCCTCTGGAGGCCCTAATGTTTGTGTGGTGCCTTTTCTTGCAGTGCTGTTCCCCCGTCACACCAATGCTGCTGCCAGAGACAACACCATAAACCTGATCCACACGTTCCGGGACTACCTGCACTATCACATCAAGTGCTCAAAGGTACGAGAGGACAGGGAGGAGAGAGGGGAGCTTTGGCCTGTCTAATCTGGGTGCTGCTAAGGAGGAGAATGGAGCAGAGGGCCTGAGAACTGCTTGTGACCTAGCTGGACTGGGACTCCCATCCCAGTTATGCAGGGATGGTAAATGATGCATCATCCCTTTCCTCTTCCTAATCTTTGGCACTTTCAGGGTCAGCTTGCTTCCCATCATAGCAGCAGGATAGACTTTTCCCTTGAAGTCTCGCTGGATTTTTCTCTCTTCCAGAGAATGGGAATAAGGAAAGCTGCTCAGAGAAGAGCTAGCTTTGACCAGGGCTCAGGCAGTGATCTGAAGTGCTGACTCCTAGCAGTAGTGAACTCGCCCTCTTGCTGCAGGTTGAGGGAGGTTGATCACCCACTGTGGCCAAGCTGAGCTACCTGCTTTCCCAGGAAGGAGCAGAAAGGTAGCTCTCCTCCAGGCACTGCCTGTGGCTCGTGTTTCCTAGCGCCCCAGCTCCTGGGGAATCGGGCTGTGAGTGTTTCCTTGCCATCGTGAGTAGCATCCCTAGCTGGGAGAGTCCAGAAACACCAGCCAGTCTCTGTACTCGTGCTCCAAGACCAGCCCTGAGCGTCTCAGAGCTGTAACCCTGGCCAGCTTCAGGAGATACCTGAAATCTGGGCCATGAGGACAGGACCCTGAGGTGTCCCCATTTTGTTCCAATGAAACACAGGCCTATATTCACACGCGTATGAGGGCAAAAACATCGGATTTCCTCAAGGTGCTGAACCTCGTCCAGACGCAGAGAAGAAAGAAATGAAAACAATCACGTGAGTAGCAAAGCGTGACCTGGCAGGACCCCTGCCCTCTTCTCAACTCAGTGTGCCCTGGTCGGGGGAGGATCAGGGTGCTGTGGGGTGACCAGATTGGGGCATAGCGTGCTGGGACCCCATCTGATGAGGAAAGGGGGTGCTCCCTGCGGAGGTGCTTGCCTGTGGTGCCTCTGCGAGTGAGAGACTCAGTCTGGGTGCACTGGCCTCCCAGGAGCGCCGCGCTCTCCCCGCCGCACTCGCTTACTGCCTCGCTTGTTCTTTGCAGGAGCAGCGTCCGTGTCGAGCTCTGTGCTGGCAAGGCCTGTGCGAGAGCCGCCTCGCGCAGGGCGCAGGGAGCAGAGCCCAAGGCAGACAGGCAGCGCAGTTGAGGCCCAGAGATGGGACAGCCGATAGGTACCGCGGAAGGGCGCCCGTCTGCCGGCCCTGCTGGGCCCAGGCGGGGAGGCTGCGCTTGCAAGGAGGGAGCGTAGGCAGCTCCGGCGTGGTCGGTGTTGAGCCAGCCTTGCCGAGGCAGCCCTGCAGAGGGCTGGTTTTGGGTGGCAGAGCCCTGCTAGCGTGACTTGGGCAGCATCTCCTTCCGTGGCGGCAGGGAGGGCGCTGCGTGTGGGCGGCAGGGCCGCGTGGCCTGGCAGGGAGCGCGCGCCGTCCCCGCGGCGCCGGGCAGGGCTCCGTGCCAGCCGCTGCCTCCTGTGTCCCGCCAACGTCCGTGGGGCTCTTGCCTCGTTGTCCTGCGCGTAGAGCAGCTGCCCAGTCCCTCGAGGTGGTGCCGGTTCCCCTTTGGCCCCGAGTTCCTGCTTTGTCTCCTTACTTCTCCATGCTCCTCCACAAGGAGATGCTGTCTGGCTTTGCTGCCCATCCTTAGGCTGGAGCCTAGGTGCAAAGCAAGGGAGTTTTGTGCCTGGCTGAGCTGTGTGTGGGATCAGGCAGCCCTTCAGCACAGTCCCAGTGTGCAGGCCCTGCTGCTCATGGGGGCCAAGGAAGCTGCTGCCAGGCTGCGGCGCAGAGCTCCATGGGCATGAGCAGCCCTGCTGTCACCCACGGGGTGGGCAGGGGACGTGTAGCCGGGGGTGAGCGCTGGTCCCACGTGCTGTCCTGGGGGGCTCCTGTCCTGGCAGCTGCCTTCCTGCCCTCTGAGCTCCAGGGCTGCTGGCGCTGGTGCAGCTCCTGCCTGGGGGGTTGTTACTGGTTCCTGGCACCTGCAGGTGGGTCCGGAGCTCCTCAGAGCCCCTTGCTGCCCTTGGCCAGCAGCTCCTTGATGCCTCGGCTGGGCGCCTTCCCTGGTGCCCTGCAGCTCCCTTGTGTGAATGAAGCAGCCTGGAGTGCCCAGCCAGGGGAGGTGGTGGCAGGAGCACGTTTCCATCGTGCACCTTAGTCTCTGTGCTCAGCCCCTCTTGCTGCCCTCCCTGTGTGTGTCCGGGTGTTTCCTCCTCGCTTGCGGCTCCGGGGGCAGCAGGGGCCCCCCCGCAGCTCCCCCCACTCCCCGTGGCCTCGAGCGCTTCGTGCCCGGACCCACCAGCACCCCCAGGGCTCCGGGCACCATCCTGCAAAGAGCCATGTAGCCACCCCGGGCGCCTGGCAGGGAGGGATGCAGCGGGGAGCAGCACCGCGGCTCCGCACTGACCTCTCTTTGCATCCCTGCAGGGGGAAGACGTTCACAACCCGTTAACGGCGGGGTCACTGAGGCTGCCTTGGAGGACGAAGGTTGGGGCACTTGCTACCCGATAATCGTAGCTTTTAATGTCGCACCTCTGTGGGCTCATAAGGAATTCAAGCAATCGGGGTCTGTTTGTACGACAGTTTGGGGAGTAATCTGCAGAAATGAGCTGTGCTTGCGAGGACTCGATCGTTCCAAGAAACAAAACCTTAATCCCAATTTGATTGACTTAATTTCTTTCCTTTTTTTAATTTTTTTTTTCTTTTCAAGCTGTTTCGCTTTGCAATATGTTACCGGAAATGAGTTGCAGTATTTCTTATGAAAATAATGCAATATTAACTTGTTTTCTTCTGAGTATTTGAGTTCAAAACTCCTGTATCTGAAGAAATACTGTTGGGGTTCATTAATAAAGGAGATCTTTCTATCTTAAGGGGCCGCATGGGGCTTGTTCAGTTCATGGGGTCTCATTAAAGAAGGAACATTTGGAGTTGCAGTCACGGTGGGGAGTTGCAGCTACTTGTGAATTACTCAGAGGGAATGACTTTTTTCCTGGTAATTCCAGTCTTTGGCACTGAACTGTGACAGTGGTAGCTGTGTGATAGGGCTATGGGGGAGCTCCCTCTCGGGCTTCCCTTCCCAGGAACGGGGAGGCTGGAGCTGTCCAGCCTCCCCCTGGAGTTCAGGCCGTGGGGCTGTAGCTTTTGCCTCCCCCCCAGGTCCCTCTTGCTGGCACAAGAGCCTCCCTTTGCAGCTGGCTGGGAGCAGAGCAGAGAGCCAGAGCTGAACTCAGGGGCTACCCCCCAGAGCAACCTTGATGAGCCCTGAGGAAGGAGGGCAGGAAGAAGAGGATGGAACCTCCAGCTTCAGCTTTGCTCCTCTACAGGGGGGAAGCAGCTACCACAAGGTCCCTTAGGGCCCGTAGGCTCGTGCCTGACATCCCCTCCTGCAAGACAGGTGCATTGTCCCTTCGTGCAAATTAGGTGCTGCTGTCACCTCAGGCTGTGCAAGGCCTGGTCCCTAACTGAGTATGACAAGAGTAGGGAGTAGGGACTTCTACCCCCCTTCCTCCTGCCCTGCACAGCCAGAGCCCTGGGTTCCCCTGATCACGGCTTCTTTATGACCCCTTCTCTCAGGAGTTCCTGTGTTGTCCAGCTGGGGACAGGCAGATGGGGCTGTCTGCTGGAGACGGGGGGCACTGGAAGCCTTCAGCCATTCAGGGAAGTGATCATGTTGACGGGGTGAGATGGAAATTTGAGTCCTATACCACCATCTACCCCCTAGAAGGGGAAGAACACCCCCCTTCCCTACATATCAGGGTGGATAAGATCCAGTTAAGTGAAATAATTTATATAATTAAAAGACATTTTTCATACAAAACCCCAGGCTCAGCACCCCCCACCCCAGAGCAAGGGCAGAGGGGGCAGGCTGGAAAATTACAAAGCACACGCTGGGGAAGGGGGGAGGCCCCTGTCCCCGTCCCGCTGTACAAGAGCCCCGGGCAGGGCCGCAGGGCCCTAGCGGTCCGGGCGCTGCACGCAGAACACCTTGGCTTGGTGGTCTCCGGAGGTCGTCACCACGATGGAGGCATCCCTGGGGGAGACACAGCTCAGAAAGGGGGCTGGGGGGACCCCTCACCCTCCCTTTCCCCAGCTACCCCAGGAGGGTGCAGGTGTCAGCACAGCTCTGCCCCCAGCCAGCTTTGGGGCTGTTCCCTCCGCAGGCCCCCAGGACACCCGCAGGAGATGCAGCTCCAGCTGTGAGTTCCCTCGCTTCCCCTCCGCAGCAGTGGCAGCAGGGGGGTCCCCGCTTACTTGTTGACGGCAAAGTCCAGGATTTCGGCCGCGTGCCCCCGGTACTCGCTGATCATCTTCCCCGAGCGGGCGTCCCAGAGGCGCACGGCCCCGTCCAGGCTGCACGTGTAGACCACGGCCGAGCTCTCCTCCCACAGCAGCTGCACAATCCCCGACTGGGGCAGGAGCAGCGGGAGCCGGGCAGCCCCTCGGCACCCTCCCCACGTGGGGCCCACGCTCTGAGGGGGGCTGTGCCCAGGGAGCAGCGAGAGCCACCCCAGGGGCTGAAGGAGAAGTGCAAAACAGGGAACTAGTCCCAGGCCCGCTAGGAAAGCCCCTGGGCTCCCAGGGAGGCACCGCTGAGGCCAAGATGAGGGCCTGGGGCTTGCGGACTTCTCCTAGAGGCCTAGAAACCCCCAGCCGGGGGGAAAATATCCAGGGCAGTACCTCGTGTTGGCATTTATGTCTCAGACTCTGCGTGGTGAGGTCGTAGATTGCCAGGGTGCCGTCAAGGTAGCCCACAGCAGCCAGCGGCATCCTGCAGAGGGGGGCAAAAAGAATAATAATAGAAAAAAAAAAGATGTTAGGGTGGGCTCATAGCAGGAAGGAAAACGTGAAAAGGAAGAGTGAACCCTCAACACTGAGTGTGCCTACAGCGCCTCAGAAAGATGGACAGGCTGCTGCCCTAGAAGAGCTGAGGAACGGGGCTGGAGCCTCGGTGCCCCACTAAGGAAACCAGGAGGACTCACGAGCCACCAACTGGCCTAAGGCTCACCAAGGACAAGACCAGATCCTGCTGGGAAAGATCCCGAAGAGCCATATCCAGAGGGGATCCCACCCAAAGTGCAGCTCCTTAGCACTAGCCCAGAGAGACCCAGGTGATGTGGTGAGGAGTCCAGATCACTGCCCCTGTCCCCCGTGTCACAGGTTAAAGCAGCTGGCCCAGGGCACACACAGCTGGTGCAGGGGAGGAGGAAAGTGCTGGAGGGGACTGAAGCTACATCAGTTTGTTGTAAGGTCTGGCACTGGGTTGTGCTGCACGGCTTCCCTCAGGGAGAGCCTGGAGAGGAAGAGCTAAAGCTGTGCAGGTCTCCCCAGCTCCTTGGTGGTTCCCGGGGAGAGGAGGGGGTCAGGGTAGGCCCCTAGTAGCAGGGGGAGGCATGAACCCCCCAACTGAGGGGCCATCACCCCACTGTGTCATATGCCCCCATTTTCCCCCCACTCACACGTTGCAGAATCCCAGTGACTCCACAGAATTGGACTCGGGCTCCTCGCCCTCGCCAGCGGGCGTCTTGGGGGTGACACTGTCCACCTTGAACACACACACAACCTGCAGGGAGAGGGGATCAGTCCCAGGGCAGGGGAAGGGTCTCCCCAGCCTCACAGGGAGGCCCTGTCCTTACCCAGGACCTAGAACCCCAGGCTATGGAGGCCCAACGCGAGAGCCTCTGCCCCTCGCAGCAGAGGCCAGGGTCCCTTTGGCCTAGCAGTCTGCCAGGTGCCACCAGGAGCCCAACCGAGCCCCCCGTCCGGTGCCACCAGGAGCCACCGCGGCAGGAGGCAGCTGTGTGGGCCAAAAGCGCCTCCTGCTGGCTGCTCCTGGCACTGCGGGCTCGCTCCTGGCTCTCACCGCCAGAGCCCACCTTGGCCCCCCCCGCCGGCCCCAGCAGCCTGGGAAAGGGGCCTCAGAGCCAGGGACCCCCTTTCCCTGTCCCCTAGGGCCTCTTCATCTGCTCCTCGCAGCAGGGCAGGCCGAGGCAGGCACAGACTCACCTTGCCCGTGGCAGAGTTGATCAGTTTGGCGTGACAGTCCACAGAGCCCGTCAGGATCAAACTGCCATCCTGGTTGCTGGCCACGCACGTCAGGGGGTCCTGGTGGCCGTCTTGGCCTGCAGACGTGAGCAGAGGCAGCATGAGCTCCATGCACCCTCCCAAGGGGACCCGATGTGCCATGAAACCCACGCGCATCCCCGTGCCCATGGTGTCCAGCACCCCTGTGGCAGGGACCAGCCTCCCAAGGGGACAAGGGTAGTTCCGCCAGCACATCCAGTGCCAGGCCTCCTCCGGCAGCCCCTGGCCTCATAACGCGCTCCCTTTTCCCAAGGGCAGACATCAGAGCCCACTGGAGCTGATTAACCCCTTTCCTACCTTTCAGGACATGCAGCGAGGTTCCCTGCTTCAGGTCCCAGATGCGCATCGTCCCATCTTCATATCCCACCACTGCTCTCTTCCCTGGGTGAGACAGAACTGACAGGTACAGCCAGAGCCTCCCTCACCCCTCCGCCTCCTGCATAGCCCTGGCGGGACAGAGCTGGGCACCCTGGGGCACCCCTGGCTCTGCAGAAACAGGGTGGCACGTGGTTCCCGCAGGATTCGCAAAGGACCTCGTAGGCAGAGCGGGTAACGCTCCCCTCCCCAGGCAGCCTCCGTGCCTCACCGTCAGGCAGGATCCTGCCACACGTGGCTGGGCACGAGGGGCCCTGGAAGGTTTTGCAGTCCCCGCTGGGGATCTTCCACATCCAGGAGTTGCCGTCAGCTGTGCCCGCCAGAAGGACATGGGCCTGAGGATGCCACTCCATCCACTGCAGAGAGAGGGACAGGCAGTGTCACAGGGTGGGCTTGGAGGACTCCCCATCCATCCCAGCCAGCCAGCTGCGAGCAAAAAGGAGAGGAACCAGACCTGCACACCATGCACCAGCCCCGTAAGAGCCAGGGGTTCTGTCACTCACCTCCAAGTCCCCCACTTCAAAGGACCACACTTCTTCCTTGGAATCCACTCGCCACACTTTGATGAGGCCGGACATGTCGCCCGTGGCCACAAACACGGAGTCATGACTGAAGCCAGCACAGGTGACCGAGTCCTTGTGTCCTGGAAACAGGAGGAAACAGAAACTATTTAATTACCGAGCTGTGGAAGATGATGGGAAGTTTAGCACTAGGTTGTGGGAGAGCATATCTGGAGAGCTGCTGCTGGGAAGGGATATACCATAATTTGGCCCCTATCAATCCCCCCAGTGCAGAGGATGCTCTGGCCAAGCTCACCTGAGCATTCAAACAGGAGCTCTCCGTCACTCAGGCGCCACACGAAGGCCTTGTCGTCCTCCCCGCCTGTCACTGCCAGCGTGTTGGTCTTGGGGTCGAGGCTCACGCAGAAAACAGAAGCTACAGAAGAAAACAGCTACTGGTTCAGACACTCCTCACACCCCGTCAGACATTGCCCAGGGCTCCGCACCACTCAGCACCAGCTCTGGATGAGATGCCCCCCAGACGGACTGAGAACCCAAACCCTGGAAGTCAGTTCTTCCTACTAGGCAATGACTGGGGCCCCGCCAGAGCACTGCAGGCTGCGCGCTGAGCTCAGCGATAGCTGTTAAAGCCAAGATAGGAATCCTGAAGTCTGACTAATGCCTGGACCAGAAACTCTGCTCCTGACAAGAAGCATCCCCAAGCCTTGCACAGGAAACTTCTCTACCGCAGTGCAGGGAAGAAATTAGCAAAGCTGAAAGCAGCCGGGTCGGAAACTGGCCCAGAAGCAGCAGAGAGACGGCAGCCTGGCAGGGCCCTGCCTGCCCCTCGCACCATGGGGAGGGGAGGCAGGAGGGGGTCCCAGGAGTCGCCCCGCGGACGC